AAGCCTACGATTCTCAGGTATAGATGAAAGATACGTTCATCGACCTGGTTTCGTAGCGCATAACGCTACTCTACCTGCGGGACTCGATTCCTTTCTATTGTACAGAGTGCTCTGGTCTGCTGAACCGCATAGCCTAGTGGACGCTAGAAGCCAACTCGAAGCGAAGCGCAAAGCCCGTACGTCGTTGCATAGCCGCTGAGGATGAGTAAAGGTCTTTGAAAAAATTCCTATTGTGCACCAATCCAATGCAATGGTTGTAAGAGAGATTAGACTTAGTTCTCACTTTTCACCCAAGGCCGGGGATTTTAAGAAAGGGGAAAATTAAATCATGCAATCATGAATCATGACGTTGGTCTCTTCACGAGAAGAACTTCTGAGCGGTAGCCCTCTCGCGAGCCTGGCGGTCCTTGACGGCCTTCTTGACCCGGGCAATCTCGTTGGTAATGCCAGCATCACCAGGAGCCAGCTGAGAAGCCTCCTGGAGATCCTTGAGAGCCTCATCCTCCTCCTTCAGACCGCTGTAGGCCACCGCGCGGCGGTAGTAAGCCTTGGCCTTGTCGGCATCCTTGGCGTTTGCAGCAGCAGCAGTTTCGAGAGCATAAGTAGCCCAGGTCTGGCCATTCTTGAACTGACCAAGCTTGTTGGCAAGCAGAGATGAGTTCGAGTGCAGAGTGAAGCGGAGCGCCTTCATCTGGGGGTCCAGATCCTTGGGGTCCTGCTCATCGGGCTCAGGGAACTCGTTGAGATAACGCAGACCCTTCTGGTATTTCTCGAGACCGAGGGTCAGGTTTCCGCTCTTGAAAGCGGTGTTTCCAAAGTTCTTGAGCTCGGTCGCGATCTTAAAGCAGACAGGGGCGCTCAGCTCCTCTCCCTGGTGGTCATCGGGGAAGTCCTCATAAGGATCGCCAGTCGCGTCGGGGATCTGCTTATCAGCGTTTTCGTACTCGTCGCCGGTGAGCTCTCCGCAGTCGACAATAGTGACGTCGGTGGTGGGCTTGTCGGCCTGGGTAGACATGTTCTCGACCTTGCGGACAACGCTCTTGCCGTTGATCACCTCACCGAAAACGACGTGCTTGCCATCCAGGTGGGGTGTGGGCACGGTTGTGATGAAGAACTGACTGCCGTTGGTACCGGGGCCGGAGTTGGCCATGGAGAGAAGGAAGGGACGGTCATGCTTGAGGTCGAAGTTCTCGTCAGGGAATTTCTCGCCATAGATCGACTCGCCGCCCGTGCCGTTGAACGCGGTGAAGTCACCACCCTGAATCATGAATTGCTTAATGACACGGTGGAAGATGGAGCCTATCCAGCGATGTTTTGTTTAGTGATATGTTCTGGTGATTCTGTGTACTTTCTGCGCACGCGGCCCCGCCGGAGCGGGGGAGGGGGAGGAAAATCTGAAGCTGCCGGATTGGACCACCGTACCTTTGAAGTGCAATGGCTTGCCCTGCTTGCCCATGCCCTTTTCGCCAGTGCACAGAGCCCGGAAGTTCTCTGCAGTCTTAGGAACGACTATTATTTGCCCATGGTTAGGAATCTGCGCGTAATTCTCCTCTACAGGGGAGTCTGCACGGTACCATCGTTGAACTGCACAGGCGGGGTAGTTAGCAAGGCTGCATAAAACACGACATGTAAATGCTGCACAAGAAGGATGGTGAACTTACCAGTTCAAGAGCAATGCGACCGGTCTTCTGTTTACCGATCTGGATATCGAAGAAAACACGGGGGCGGCCTGTGAAATTAAGTGCAATCAGTATTGTATTCTGCGGTTGAGACTGCGTTCCCCGCTTTCAGAGTCAAACGTACGCTCAGAGTCGGCCATTATGGCGGTTGGAAGGAGTTGATGAGTGAAGAGGTAGGTAGAGAAGAGGGTTACACGAAGGAAGAAGCTGTAGAAACAGGGATGGGACAAATATGAGAGGTGGAGGGAGAAGGAAGAGCTAAGGTGCGGAGGTGAACGAGGTAAAGAGGAGAGGAAGTGGGCTGGACCAGCCTTTGGCTGCGATGCTTCAAGAAGCTTCCATCGCATCTTCTTCCCCGGTGCCCGGCCGCTTCCTTCCGCGGAATGTCGACCATCCCCTCCTCACCTACCCATAGCTAAGTACTACTTGTCATCAGCAGGCGCTTATATTTGGGATTTGTATTGAGCGATCTAGGATCTACCATCCGTTCATCCCCAGTGGAGCACTGGCCTGCCAGTCTGGGGCAACGCTATGATCTGGACGGCTTCTCCCGTTCCCTGCCTCAATTACCTTATCACCAACACTAGTATACAAGGCTTTTATTTGCGCTGCAATTTACGGTGACGCATTGTTATTCCGTTGGAATACTGTCTGACGTCCAATGGCAAAGTGTCGCTCCCTTATACTGCGTTGGAAGCGATAATGCAGACTGTCCAGTGATCATTCGCAGGAAGTTGCTCAACCCAGTCAACAGCTACTGCGTCATCGACAAACTATCTTATCGGTGTATTGCTGATGCTCATAAGGCCCAGGTTTCATATGGCATGGTTCTGCCTAACCAAGGGGCTAGATCAGTTACTATTGTAAGGATCCTGTCTTATGGGATCTTCAGAACTTAGATTGAGATGAAGCTTACAAGCTCGCTCTAACTTTGCCTCTTCGAGACATCTATACAACCGAATATCACAAAAAGAAAAGATCTCCTTTTCTCTCATCTCGTAGGGCTTTCCAGAATTACATAACTCTTTAGCTTCAGATTATTCGCTACCTGGACTAGCGGAATCAATATAGCTATAGTAGGCGTCAATGACTCACTGCAGCGCCATGTACTAGCTCTGTGAAACACAAGAGATCAGAGGCTCGGCCCCTCGGTTGTTGAATTAGTGCATAGCCATCTACACGTCATAAGTTTGTTCTTGATTATGCATGAAGGAGCTGATGCGCCGGGTTTATGCCACTAACATGTGCCTTGTTGAAGTATTCGAGAGTCTCATGCATCTACAGGGTATCAGGCATACTGTAGCAACTATGATAGTACAACTGCAAGGTACGTAGTCTCTTCTAGATTCATCAAAGCAGTCCAGCCAAACTAGCGCAAGGCGGCTATCATGTGAGGGATTCTGGAACATACTGCAACGAACAGGAGTCTGATTTTTGGAGGCCATGGTAGTAATTAACTAGATTTCCTCGTTAAAGTCCGGCTAGAAGAAGCCAATTATCGTGTAGGCACGATCATTGGTATATTGATTCACGTTCTCATTGGGCTAGTAGGCACACACTGTTGGTCTGACAGGACTGAAAGGTGCTTAAAAGTCATTAAATCTAGTAATGTAGAGATATGTTAGCTGGTTGTAGGGGATGAAGCAGGTTTTCTTGTACAAACCGATTTCCCCGGCATTTTTACACAGAAAGGTAGCATATAGCGCGCTGACGTATGTCACTATGTAGTCGAGGTGCTCCTCCGGGGCATGGTTCTGTGTAATGTAAGAAGATGTTCGTTAAAAAATACTTAGTTACTGAAGGAGGGGCTGACCACATCGTAATGGCTGGACCTGGTGAGTCAGCCACGATCAAGGATTTACTTCATCATTTAGTACACACTCTGACCACGCATTCTCTGCTGATTGGGGACTCCTGTTCTGGCCTTGCTACCCCACACCAACCAGGGTGAATGAGGGCCAGACAACGTATCATCCCGAAGGGAAGCGCTATCTTTTTTCTCAAGGCATCAATATAAAGTAGTGTATCTTGGTGATTGTAGACCTCTGACATGCTCTCCCCATTGCGCGTTTCACCATAGGCCGCACACCATATCCCAAGCGTTACTGGGAGTGAGCGAAACAGTAGACCAAAAGAATGAGAGACATGCAGGATAGGCGACTAGTCGCCGTAGCTAGGCTTTCCCATGGCATCCCCACTATAGAGCAGCGAAGGTAAAGGAGAAATACCTCTGGTCGTAGTTGTTCGCGTTCAGTGCATTCATCCATGGCTACACTGATAGTCGCATCGAGCAAATTGGCCTGAAGCCTTCATTTTGACATGGAAGTGCACGACCCCATCATCGGCATGAGGGGAAGGTTCTTGGTCATTTTCCTTCATATCCTTGCATGGTTAGGTGGCAGTAAACAGCGGATATGAACCAGCAAAGGGATCAAAATTCCTCCGCGTTCTCTAAACTTCGATACAGACCAGAAAAGCCTCCCAGCGGATTGATTTTGAAATGGAGTAAAGCCCAAAGTAGGTTCTAGACCGGACTGGATGTCCGTCTCTGGGCGAGGTTTCTGGATAGTAAGGCGATCGTAACATTCTCCAATGAAAGTACATGCCAGGAGGCCCGGCGAAGCGATGTTAGACTCAAAAGGCATTGACTAAAGGTTTGTGTAAGAGATAGCTTTCACGAGTCGGCGAGAGGAGCTTTGGACAGAGGCGATTTGAAAAATCAGCCATACGACACGTAAAGAATTGACAAAGCGGACATTATAGTCGTAGATGACACAGTGTAATTGATGTTTGTGCGATGCAGTCATCACGTAGGAAGTGATCGTGCGTACTTAGTCGCACGCTTTTCAATTAATCTTGGCATTCGTTCGCAGTATTGGCGGTACGGCGTACTTGAAGTAGTATGACACAAGTTGTTCGCAATGGCTAGAGCGAGTTTCCCAATCTTGGCTGGGTGTGACACCGGCGAAAAGATAGGCTCGATGGTAGCGGTGGCATTGCTTGTTTCGTTGCGAACAGGCAGGTTGACAGTTTGCTTTGATAGTCCAAGCCTGCTGTCAAAGAATCGTTCACGTTGGCTTCACCTTTCGCTATTGATCATCCTGTTTGGTGGTATACCGGCCTCAGCGAGGATTAGACGAAAGGTTACTGATCCCCGACACCGTAGCGTCCAAACGCACATGGGTGTGAACAAATCGGGGTCCCCGGAGGGGGAGGGCCTTTTTAAAACATGCCCAAAATTCGTCAGTGGCTAAGCCACCCGGTTATCCCAACGTTTTCCTTCGGAGTTGTCTGACGATGGTTTGCTTCTCACGGGACAGTTTGAACAACGTATCCAGGTTGTCGCCGTCAGTGACTGTGTCAGGGCCACCCGGTTTTCAACATTCTCCGTCGGAGTTTGGTAACGCGGTTTGCTTTCCGCGAGACGGTGGTAGGTCCTTTGGGTGTGTCAGGCCACAAAGGATGGCTACCCACTCCACGGATGGAGTGAGGCCCCTACCGGGATCAGGTATTTTCTTTCCTTCTCCCTCAAGACACCTGACCCGGTCAATAGGCACAGGTGGGATCTTTTACAGACATATCCAAGGTCTTTCGCGACCTGGCTAGCCGTCGATCGAGCAATTAGGGCGGAGCGCCTGCACTTCCAGTGGCAACGAGGAAGTTCTCGTACTTGCCACCGTGAATTCTGATGAGCTCTTTGCAGTTCAAACAAGGCTTCCATAACCTCGCCCAGATCGGCCCAGATAGTCGATCGTCATAGTGAGGAGAAGACAAGTACGGCCTGGACAAAGCGAGACCATATACCTTCTCGGCTTGTCCCTTCCCACAGGTTTTGAGGAGCTTGCAGAAAGGGTATGTCTCGGCGCAACGTCCAAATGGCGTTCCATCCTTCTTCTTTCTGCACTCCATGCAAGGTGATCGGGCCAATGACCAGCCGGCCAACGTTAATGGCTCAGACTTGATAACGCCAAATCGGGCACGGTCGACGACGGCTAGCCAGGGTCGCTCTGAATGAAGACTGTATGCTCCTCTCGAGGCACCGAGGAAAAAGTCTCCCTCCTCATTCCACGTACATTGGAAAACGTATGGCGTAACCCCTTCTCCAATGAGCTTCTTACACCACATTCCATAAACCGCGGTGAGCGGAAGGTAAAAGTTCCTTTTATTTGCTCCAGCGGGACTCCGTCCAAGCTTGCTCATGAATAGGCCAAGAAGGTCCGGAAGCGCCCAGTATGGCACTTTGTCGTAAGTCAACCTATCTATAAGAATAGGTGAGCCCGCATTGGGCCAGCTCGGATTGTTAACACGGGCGATGCTCTGGGGGGGAGGAGGAACGAGGTAGTCGGGCCCATCGGGGTGACTTCGGTAGACGTCAGTCCATAAGGCTCAACAAATGGTTGGTTATACCTCACTTGCTTACCGAAGTCTGTGTTGATGAGAAAGATATTGTTGACAAAGCAAAAGCAAGATCTTGGATGATGCTGAGTATGTTCGGGAGGGAGAAAGTTGATGCGGAAAAGAGACTTAAATATCAGTCATTACAGAGTCTCAGTGAATGGTCCTAGAATCAGCCACGATTAAAATTTGACGTCTATATTTGTCATTCGATATGGTTGGTTAGCATACTCTGACACCACTAAGAACTTCACATCGAGAGCTCTCAGTGGCTTCACAGCGCTTCAGCTGGGGCACACTCATGCCTAATGTGAGGACCTATTCTCAGAGACACAACCAGCGATCTGTGGCTTTCCGTAAAAGAATGCGCCATACATTCAAGGCCCTAGACCTGCTGGCAACATTGCTTCCGCTGTTGCGGGCACTATCTCCCGGGACTCATAGAATCATTGGGAACACAAGCCATCTCGAAATCCTTGTTGTTCCAAGGTGATTTGCAAAACCACGTCCCATCTTTGTTGAGCACAGATTGTTCGTCTATTTGAATAACAATCGGGAGCCCAAGCCTGGTCACTCTTCCAAGTACCACTATCATGAACTCACCAACGCCAAATTTTTCAAACCCCTTTGATGAGCAAGGTTTCCCTGATGTCTACCCAACCAAGATCTCTATATCTCGAGGCAATACACACCCCAGCATCCCAGACTAACTTATCCTGATTGAGTGTGTGTGCTTACTAGGCCAACAAATCATAGTTTCCTCTGAGGGAGAGGAGTAATCGTGGAAGGTATAACCATATGCGTTTTCAAGGTCAAACCACTATTTACATTCCGCTCGCATACATACCAGCTCATCTATAGCCGGCTCTTGATCTTGGTCCATTCATTTTCGCCAACCTTCTGGAAGTCCATAACTGCATCTGGTCCTCCGAATCGGTTCTGTGTCGACTTCCAGTCTCTGTCGACCGCCATTTCTGGTCTCCACCGAACAACATGTTTCAGCTCATCCTGCAGATGACCCTCCAGTGCATCCACGATGAAACCTCCAATAGTGGGCATTTGCATAGCTCCATTCCCAGATGCCCCCACAGCAACCAACAGTGAAGGGTAATCAGGATGTTTATCGATTAAAAAGGCACGATCTACAGTATCGGCATCCCAGCAGATACGGGCGAACACTAGTGGACGGTCGGCCAGATGTGGCATGGTATCCCGCAGGAAGTCCTTGACGCGAGCTTCCGCCTCAAGGGGAATTTGGTGCTTTGCAAATGGGATGCTTCTGATCTCGCCAGATCTCGCCGGGTCCGGAATGAAGTTACAGTATCCAGGATGTTCGTCACAGATCTTGAGTTCGTGCTTATCCTCGTCAGGCTCCATGAAGAACCCCTTTGCAATATTGAACAGCACGGGTAAATTCTTGTACAACTTAGCCTCTTCCGGGGTCATCTGGATGTGAGAGAGCGTCCAGGCAGTAGGACGCAGCTGTTTCTTGAAGTCCAGAAGACGGTCACTTCCGGCACCGGCAGCCAAAATGGTTCGGTCTGCTCGGTGAATGACTCCATCGGACGTTTTAGCTCCAACCACATCTCCGTTCTCGTACACTAGTGATACAACGTTCCCTTGGGGAGACCCGGTGATGAAGTTGACTCCAAGACGCTTGGCTTCAGTGTACGCAGAAATCATGGCTTTCTTGGCATGAATCCATCCGGCACCCGACTTGTTCAACCAGCCCTTCCAGCCGGGAAATTCGCCAGTAAGAACACCTGGAGGCATTGTCTTTTGGAAGTCTTCTGCCGTCTTCAATTCGACAAAGTCTGCATCAGAACACTCGATTTCATCTTTGCGGATGTGCTCAATGAGTGCAGGGGTATGACCAGATACTATGACACCAGTCTCATGGAAGTACTGCTTGAAAACAGGATCCGTCCTCCAGGCTTTCAGAGCGGCACGTGTGCACGTCGCGAACGCAATGCTGCGCGGCGTTTCTTCACCTGCTGTCGAAGTTGTTAGGTTTAGAAGGATGGGCATCAGGTGGACATTGCAAACATACCTTTGGGCTCCTTGTGTTCCATGATTTTATTAATATCATTGCCGGCTGCGATTGCGGATGGGATCGTGTAGGGGTCTAGAACTGTGACATGCTTGTATCCGCGGCGAGCCAAATGCAAAGCAGTAGAACAACCCCAAACACCCGCTCCCACCACGAGGATGGTAGAATCATGGGTTATTGTAGAGGATGCCATGGTGACTGCCAATTCTGTTTGACTCGAGAGTATTGAGGAACTAATTTGTTGCAGCGATGTTGATGTGGACGGGCAACGAGGCCGTATTTCAACGGCGCCCTTACATCAGACGGTATCCACTGAGTGCCAACTAACTGCCAGCATTGGGCACAATGGGGACCTGGCTGGGCCTTATCCAGAGTCCAAAGTCCCGGCAAGATGGAAGCAACTCAAAGCAGGCCACAAAATAGTGTCCGTGCCGGGGTTCCCGATCTAGATTAGCGTCCCGGTTGGACCTTCCTTGGGGTCTTCGTATCACTCGGTCTTCTCATCCATCAACCATTCAAGACCCCCAGATGCATGGTAATACTCGCGTCAATGATCGTCCGGGATTTTTCCGTGGACGCTATCAGGGTCGACTACAGCAATGACCCACTTGCGTGCGGATGATACCGACTTCAAGCCATGTCAAACCGGCGAAAGCATGCAGCTTCTCCGCATTTTCCTCCGCCTCGGCAGGCTTAATCGATATCAACCGCTCAGATAACCTTTCGTTTGGAGCTTCCTCCATGACTTAACTTATCTGTGACTGACTACCTTCGCAATACTCCTCGTGTCTCTTCGTCTCCACCCCTACCTTATCACCTCGGTTATGCTCCATTCAGCCGGTTCTAATTATTTTGCCGCTGGCTTTCGTGAGAGCGTGGCAGACGAGAGAAGGCGAATGATCATCCCCTGTTATCGTGCTTGGCCATACTGATACGCTCGGGATAACCATCCAATCGGACGCCAAAATGGGGTCTTGGAGGGCTCTATATACTTCGACCAGCTCGTACGCAGGTCTAGCATGGTTGTGGCCGCTAGTAGATAGTAACCAGCCTTAAAAGACGCTTCAACCCCCCTCATGGCTGTCTTTCTGCTTCCCTATTGACTCACAAAGCCAAAATGACTCGCTCTGATGTTATAGATACCGATGTTCCAGGAACGGTGTACCTGGTTGATGGTAGGCTCTTCCTATAAGCTACAGTTAGTCGGTACTGACATCGAACTCAAGCAACGGGGAGCTTGAGAGATGTAGCTCATGCTGGGAATCAGGATGTCCTCCTTATTCCTCAGCCTACATCCTTTTCAGCTGATCCCTTGGTGGGTAGCAGATGAAAGCAGCCCTCTTCCACACGGTTCGTGCTGACCCATGATAGAATTGGCCACTTTACAAGAAATACTGGACCCTGTTCTTGATCTCCATGTATGCATGCGTTAACTCATTTGGGGAGAACAACTGGGGTGCGGCATGGACAACTATATCCGATGATACGGGCGTGAGCCTGAACAATATGAACGGTGGCTCCGCTTTGAACTATCTTATGCTGGGTTTCTTCAATATTATTTGGATCCCCACGGCCATGAGGTACGGACGCAAGATTGTCTATATACTTAGTCTGTTGTTCGTCCTTGGAAGTGGTATCTGGGGTGGCTTCTATGAGGGTGTTTCGCAGTATTACATTATGATGGTGATCAACGGGATCGGAACTGCAGCCTACCAGGCTTTGATCCAGCTGACTGTATGCTATGTTTCTAAGATGCTCGCTTCCGTACGCTAACAGAGCATAGATTTTCGACGTGTTTTTCACTCATGAGCGCGGCCGAATGCTGTCGATCTACATTTTCTTCCAGCAACTCGGATCTATTATCGGGCTGATCTGTGGCGGTTACATTTCTGACGGCATTGGCTGGAGATGGAGCATGCCCATCGTGTCCATAGCATGTGTCAGTGCCCTCGCACCTAATTTCTCTGCTGCAATTAGCCAGCTAAACCTCTATAGGCTGTTTTGATTCTTCTATTCATCTTTACTTTTGATGACACCATGTTCCCGAGGTATCGCTTTTCGGGTGTGACACCTCAGCGAGCCACCAAAGGCGAGAACGAGACTTCCCGCACTCCATCTGGCACCCCAACGGCGGAGGAAAAGGATTCCAAGGTTGAACCGCCAATGTCCGTCGTGGAAAGCCGCACTGTCGGGGAGATTGACATGCCTCCGCGAACCTACCTCCAGAAGATGTCTCCAGTTCACTATTTCAAAGACGACAACACAACTTGGTACCAGTACTTCCGACGCCCGTTCTTTCTCTTCGCGTTTCCCAATATTCTTCTAGCTGGTATCCAATTTGCATTTGGCTGCACTGCCGGTATTGTCTCGTTTAATACCATCTCTGAGATCATGACGGAGGCCCCTTATAACTGGAGCGCCGGCTCTGCTGGCCTAATCTTCTTGGCAGCACTAGTTGGTAACTTTCTTGGGTATGTATTTAGCCTGATACTCTCATGTGTAATGCTGACCCTCTTATAGCATGGGTATTGGATCACTGTCCGACTGGGTTGTCGTCTTTCTGGCACGTCGCAACAAGGGTTATAAGGAGCCCGAGATGCGTTTATGGACGTATTGTATTCCCCTTGTACTTGCCGCGGTTGGCTATTTCGTCTACGGCTGGGGTGCTACCAAGGGCCTTCACTGGATGTCCATTGCAGTTGGCCTATGTTGCATGATTGCTCAGCAGGTCTCTGCCACCAGTATCGCAACCGCCTACGCGATGGAGTGCTTTGAACAGGTAAGTCATTTAAATCCGCGATCCTGGACTTGGTGGCTAATCCTCTCGAATCAGATTTCTGGTGAGCTCGTCATTGTACTGGCCTGCTGTTCATCCATAATCAATTTTGTCATCTCCTTTACGGTGCAAGATTTCATCGACGGCACCAACTACGGCTGGACATTTACCTTCTATGGTATCATGGTTGTCCTGTCCATGGCCGCGGGTGCTCCGATGATAATCTGGGGCAAGGATTGGCGGCGGAAGTGTAAGCCTCGGTATGAGAAGTTTTTGGCGGAAACAGGACGTCAGTAGGAACATGGCCAGTTTTCTGTTTGTTAAATGACCTTTATGAATGATTGCATTATATCATTGTAACGTGTATGTTTATTAGCTAGACACACTGAGACTTTGTCAATAAGCAAGAGCACGCAACATCTAAATTCAATGCGAACACTACAGCCTAGGAGGTTTCGCATAGTCAGCACATATCATAAGTTGATGATTTCCAAAACACGTCTATACTACCCCATCTCACTTCTCCCTAGCACCAGTAACAACCCTAACCCTCTCCACCAGAGGACTCGTATCCAAATAGACCGTGAAAAACCTCATCTTATCCTCATCCACCCTCTTCCCAAAGATCGCCATACCCTGAACACTAACCACCTTCTTCTCCTCGTCACCTTTCAAAACATAGTCGATGGTCGCCTCCTGATAGATGCGATCAGGAAGAACGTCCACATGGCCAATAGTATGCTTCATGCTCTCCAGGATCGTGGACTGCTCTTTGAAGAAGCTGATAATTGCTTCGTCACCCTTAATTGGAGCATGGCCTGGAAATCTCATCTCACAGTCTGGAGTGTAGAATTTGGGGACGGCGGTGTCGGGGTTGAGTTGGTCGCCTAGGGAGTGGAAGTCTTGGAGCCAGGATTTGGCAGCGTGGAGGGTTTGGTTGGTGTTGGACATTGTTTCTTGGGGTGGGGATGGATGTAAATTTGAGAGCTATGGTAGTAAAGGTAGATGATGGTTCTGGTTGCTGTTCAACATTGTGTAGGATTGGGGGTGGGATCTAGGTAGGGAGGTTTTATATGTGGTGTTGATTTGTGGTTATCATTCTCACTCAGAATGACGAGGAGCTTTGGAATGAGTTGATTGGTGTATTTTGATGTTCGTTCGTTGTTGATTTATAATGAGTTTTCTGATGCTGCTGTGCGCTTATGCGCTGATAGTATGGGATAGCTTTGGAGTTCAGGGAAGCTGAACTACGAGAGATTTCATACGAGACTGGAACACAGTTTGCAAGACTACTCTTGACAGAACAGGAGGTGGTGTATACCCTCATAGAAAATATATGAGCCTACTAAGTATATGAAGGTCACACTTAAATTTATTATTTGCTGATAAAGCAATCCCGTGCATGGGTGCTAAGTATCCGGCCGGTTTTGGCCTAAGATATCATTAGTGCTTCGGTAAGACTCATCATGATTCTTATGGTAGCCATATTGACTAGGGTATGGTCCTGTCGCACCAGGTACATCACATGAAGAGTACATGATCCTGGTAGGAAACATAACAGAACAGCATGGAGTTGTAGCAAAGTCACCTACTACTGTGACTGCAAGAGGATTAAATAAACCAACTCCATACCTTGGTACGCAGGACAATGGCAACTTCACTTCTCTTTCAATAAAGGATCGGAAAATATAAGCAGCGAATCAGATAACGCAGTGGTTAGCCGCTTCAGCATCATTGGTCTAGTGGTAGAATTCATCGTTGCCATCGATGAGGCCCGTGTTCGATTTACGGATGATGCACTATCTTTTTCTTTTTGCTCTTTTTGCTTCCCCCCAAGTTACTCTCGGCTATTGTCTTCTCTCAGACACATGCAACTTGAAGAACCTAACATTTCCATCGATTATGCATGTTATCGTCATGTTCCGTTTCCCGTCGCATATCTTCTATCTCCTCCATGCCAAGGTGCTTCTCCACAGAGAAAGAACCAGCCTGTCTCTCCAATTCCTTGCTCTCCTCTAGTTCAAATATATAATTATTGCCCAATGAGGCAGGTGGACGCACACTTTAACGACTGCGTCCTTATCCGGGCCATACGGACGAGATCGCGAGAGCCTTATCATGGCGATGGGCTGTCAACATACTAATTCCTTCCATCTCTGACGACCTGACATAATGATCATCTACTCGCCTGGCTACAACGTCTGAACTACAGCAGTCTTCATGGCCAGTAAGCGAAATCACTTAGCTGAGCACCGGTTCCAAGCTGGAGCTGGACGACCTTATGATCTTAGAAGAATTCATGCAGTACTCTATATGAACTTGGTTGATAACCGTGATGCGAAGTTGTGCTGACACTACTGCAAACCAGCCTGAACAATGTCATCACGCTCTCTTCAATGGTGATAAGATGATCATTATAAAGGAAATCCATGGTTTAGATTGTGGATCTCATCAAGTCCAACATGTGCAAGCTTCTTATTGTTCAAGCTTCAACGGCAGAGAAGTGTTTAGCGATCACCATCATGCACCTGTATGCATGCATCTGCATCCTGAATGGTCACGCGGACCCCAAAAGCAAAGTACCGGCAACACTTTCTTCATTGAGTAAGACCAACAGTCCGTGCGCTTTCTTTATCTATCTGGAATACTACAAACTTACATTTGAAGGGCTGCCATCTGCTGGACTCAGGGTCTCAACGGCAGTAATACCACTGGCTAGATGCCGGAACACTCCTTGCACCTTTACCGAAGTTATCTGTCGCGCTGTTATCCAAAGCTCTTCTTTCCGAAATGCTACTCTGTGATAGGACCACATGATGCATTTTGATAGCCACTAACAGCCATCAAATAATGAGCTATTATCGGTACTTGCTTTTCTCCGCTTGGCAACCCCGCATGAAGAATTCCAACGGGCTGTTATCTCTGATTACTCTCCTGCATTCCCGAGCGATAAGCCTCGCTGAAATGGAGAAGAAGTACAAAGGAGAAGATACTGCGGGATGTGAATATAATGATAAGATCTGTGTATCCCACGCTTCGGTGGCTACATCACGACGGGGAACTTGACTTGCCTTAACATCACATTTGGAATGTCGAATGGTCAGAGTGAGCAGGAGCCCATCTGGGCTCCGGGCACAGTCACCCTCGAAGATAGTAAGAACTATTTCTTATGAGTGCATGTACAGGACTGATCACAGGTAGTACACGGCAGCAGTGTGGTCCTATTCCCTACTCCTTCTGACGACCCGGATGATCCTCTCAATTGGTCCAAGGCACGGAAGGCTCTCAACTATACTTTTGTTAGCCTATTTGTCCTCTTCACCTTCGTGGAGCTAGACATTGGGTTTACCGCATGGGGTCCGATGGAAACAGAGCTTGGCTTCACGGTAGACCAGCTCAATGCCGGTACAGCGACTAATTACGGTGGTCTTGCTGTGGGGTGCTTCTTCCTGCTTCCTCTCGCTCGAAAATATGGTCGCCGCCCTATCTACATCTTCTCCTCGGCGTTGCAGCTGGCTGCGAGCGTGTGGAATGCCAAAACCTATACCTTCGGTGACTATATCGGAGGGATGCTGATTTCCGGCCTGGGGGGTGCTATTAGCGAGATTATCGTACAGATGACTGTCGCAGATCTTTCCTTTGTCCACCAACATGCCACCATGAACGGATTATTCGTACTCTTCCAGTCAGTCGGAGCGTTTCTGGGACCTGTCGCCTCAGGATACGTCGTGGAATCCCAAGGCTGGCGCTGGGGATGGTGGTGGTGTGTGATATTCTTCGCCGTCATGCTACTTTGTGTGATCTTTCTTTTCGAAGAATCGAAGTTTATTCCTATTCTGAATGCCCAGGAACTTATTCCAGATGTGCAGACATCCGGTGTAGAAGAACCTGAGTGCTCTCAGGCTTCTAAAGGAAGACTGTCTTCTGATGACAAGAAGGGATATAAAGGGTCCGTGGAAATACTATCTGCCACACCGCGGCCTGGAAGCGAGCCAAAGACCTACCTTCAGAGAATGGCCCTCGTCACACCGTCTGATGAATCTATATGGCCCCATGTGTGGCAGCCAGTTGTCATTCTATTTACATTTCCAGCAGTGACATATACTGCACTTACATATGGCTCCACCCTGTGCTGGTTCGCAGTCATGACATCTCTACAAGCGACATATATGATTCTTCCGCCATATAATTTTAGTTCAGTCGAAATCGGTTTGATGAATGTTGCCCCATTTATTGGCAGCCTGTTAGGCTTTCCAATCTCAGGCTATCTGAGTGACAAGTCCATCCTTTGGCTTTCGAAGAGAAACAACGGCATATACGAGCCAGAGATGCGACTTTGGCTTTCGCTCCCTATAATAGCTTTGGGTCCAGGATCTATACTGATGTTTGGACTTGGGCTTGCCTATGTACGCTCCTAGTACCCCATACATCTCCAGTATTGTGCTAATTTCATCATAGGGCTCTCACTGGGTCGTACTAGCAGTTGGCTATGGTTTCTTTGGGTTTGTTCTTTCTTGCAGCAGTGGTATCTCACTATCATATCTTATGGATTGCTATCAGGATGTGAGTACATCGAATGTCCTCTTTGAGTAAGTATAAACTGGCATCTAACGCAAATGTATGATAGATCGTTGGCGACACTCTGGTCGGCGTAGTCTTCATGCGAAATGTGATCGCTGTCATTGTTCTTTTCACTTTGACACCTTGGGTTAATGGAATGGGTATGCAGAACCTGCATATCTTAATTGCAGTCGTGGCATTCTTCATCTATTCGATTCCAATTCCCCTGCTAATCTGGGGGAAGAGAGCGCGGATTGCTACTGCATCGACTTATCGGAGGATGGCAGAGAATCAGAGCGACAATCGGGTGGTCTGACATACAAGCTATCTTTGAGACAAGAGCTTGTAGACTATAGGGATCTATATATGTACACAGGACCATTCGCAATGTAGCAGTGCAATACCAATTCTTTGATAACATTATGGCATTGTATAAGCTCTTAGTCTGGGATAGGATATTGCTCAATTTAACTCAATAATTACTCTCGACTTGAAATTCATTGGACATTGACCTTTCAGTGTATCAAGTAGAATTAGCCTGCATCCCAACGTACAACTTCCAATTACCCAAGCTTCCACAACTCACCCCCAACACCACATACTCCCTCCCTACAACTCCATCCCACCCAACTACCACCCACTACTTCGAACTAAACGCACAACTCCCCATATCCAACCTCACCACCTCCGCCTCCGGCCTAACATCGAAATCAAAGATATCCATCGGCACTCCCAGCGTCGTACACGCATTCGGAATATCCACCAATCCCGCAATATGCCCCTGCACCGGCGCACAACTCAACAACAAATAAATCTGATAATCACTATACCCATACCGTCTCAAATACTCAATCACCCTCAAGCAAGTCTGTCTATACGCAACAGTCGCATCAAGATAATGCTGCTTGCCATTCTCATCCACCGAGAATCCCTCAAACGTGAGATATCTTCCCGGACCGAACTTAGGCTCCACAGGCCCCGGGTGGAAAATGGGAGACTTCATGCCCATCTTCTCCATACCCCCTTTGAGGACAGTGAACTTGAGCGTGATTATTCCTGCCATTTCAATCGCCCCGCAGAAGGAGATCTCCCCATCGCCTTGGCTGAAGTGTAAATCGCCCACGGAGAATTTGGCCCCCGGCACGTGTATGGGGAGGTAAACCTTTGAGCCTCGCGAGAGGTTCTTGATGTCGCAGTTGCCGCCGTGCTCGGGACGGCCCTGTAACTTTTGTTAGTATTTGTGTGGGTCTATAGGGGGAGGATAGGAATGATAGGATGGGGATTAATACAGGAATAGTCCTCGCTCCCTCCTTCGCTATCTTCGCCTTCAGCTCCTCGTCTGTCGCACTACCCGCATGCGCACTCTTCGGCTCCGGAGGCTTCGCAACGTCCCGTCCAAGGGTAGTATTCGCCGCGATGAGCTCCCCTTCACGACGATTCCACTCCGCCAGAACCTCAGCCGATGGAGCGCACCCCAGTATACCGGGGTGAATGAGGCCCGCGAATCGCACGTGCGGGATGTGGCGCGAGGAGCAGAAGATTCCTTCGAAGTCCCAGATGGCTTTTGCGCTGCATATATCCACCACATCAGCTATTTTTCTACTCTCTCATACATACCGAGTTTAGAAGGAGAAGAGAAAGGAAGATATCATACGCATCCGGATAAATCTCATCCAAAAACCCACCCCCATTACTCTTCTCAAACACACCCGTGAATCCCCAGGGCTGGTCCTCAAAGGGCTGCACATCTTGGATCTCGACCAGGAGGACATCACCGGGCTCTGCGGTCTCGATTTCAAATGGGCCAGAGAGGTAGTGGATCTGAGTGAGATCGACGTTCTTGATGTCGTCGGCGGAGTCGTTGTTTTTGATTTGCCCGCCGGTCCAGTCGAGACATTCGATTTTGACTACTTCGTTGTTGGCGATTTTGGCGTAGGAGGGGACTGTCAATTTCCATTATATATTAGAGGGGTGAGTGGTATAGAGGGGGGGGGGTGGAATAGTACCGTCTGGGTGCCATCTGTTCTATAGAGTAGATGAAGGTTAGTGCTACTATTATGCTTCTACACTGTTTATGACTTACGTGGAGGCCAGGCTGCTCCCAAGCTGGCTTGTTCAGATCGACTGAGAGAGCTGTGCGGATCTTCTTGTGGCCCATGGTGAATTCGTGCTGATAATGATGATGATTGTGATACTAATTGATAGATGAATGAATTAGGTGGGAAGAGGTAAGATGGAACAACTTCCCCTCAACGTGGGAACCACTCATTAATACTACCAGATAAACCAAACTAAAGCGATGCAACCAACCCCTCAATTCATGGCACCCGAAACTTCCCCTCACGAACTGGTCCAACTTTGTTTATCATCAGACCGAATAGGAATTACGGAAATCCCCCCCTGCTCCGGTTATCTTATCAGGGCTGACGCGCTTATCAGCGGGGAAAAGGATATGCTTTGATTCCACGGCTGTCTTTTGAGTCTATGATAACGATAATAACCCCGAACCTTAGAAAAAATTAAGGTGCATGCAATGCATGCATGCACTATGCAGAAAACCTAAGTGTACAGTCTCGGTTTCCATAACCAACTTTTGTACGTTGAACTCCACTCCTCCGAACAACTCATCCCTGGGCGGTTCGCTTACTCGAATTTCCGACCCGGCACCTCGGGCGCCTTTGGCTTTTCCTCCTCTGGAGCCTTGTTCAGCTGGTCGATATTGTCCAGCGATAGGCGCAGGAACTCGTGCTTGTTCTTCCAGGTCACCTGGGTCTCTGCGAAGCCCTCCTTCTCGGACGGGGCCGGCGGGGGATCCGTGACCTTGGTGACGAGGTATGCTGTGGCGGCTTGCGCAACGCCGTACAGGAGGACTCCGATGAAGGGAGTCTTCAGCACAATTGTAAAGGCAAAGGCAAAACCGAACAGGACACCCTGACGGTCGGCAAACCAGCGGTTTCTCTGTTCGGGGGTGAAGGGAACGCGGCTAAAGTAGGGGTCGAGCTGGTTGTCCATTAGCATGGTTTTCTGGAAAAGGTGGCTGAAAACTTACCATCTCACGCATCAGGGTACGGGAGGCGTAGAAGCTGTGCAGGAAGGAAACAACGTAGCTCTTCGGGAAGATAAAACCGGCTCCAAAGATGACAGCCGCGGGGGTAGTGCCCACAGCATCCTTGAAGGCGAAGAAGGAAGCTGCTGGAGTGGCAAAGCGTCCGACAACAGGCACAAGCGACAAGATGGACACGCCCAGGAGCAGGGCGGCTCTCTGGCCGGACCTCCTAAGGAACACCATGATTCTTTCCTTGGCCGACTTCTTCGGCGCAGTGGACTTGACCTTGCCCTCACCGGCGTTGTACATGGAGAGGTTCGGGTAGTACATGGCACGCAGAGTGCTCGGGTCCTCTGCCTTGTGCTTATCGACATAGGTCGTGTCCACCCATTTCAACGATTCCATGAAGCTAATCAATCAGCACGTGCACACTGCGTGTAGGGATAGTTGGCTTACATTTCATCCAATGTCGGAGTGATGTACCGCATCAACGACATGATGAGGAAGGGGACATGAAGGACAGACTTGGAGAGGAAGTCGAGACCCTCAATGAGGGAATCGTCCCAAGTGACACTCTCGAGGTCGACAATCCATGAGATGAACCAAAGTCCTATCTTTAGTGCAATGATCTATAGCCGCTTTGTCAGTCTCGAAGCTGTCAAGCGGGTAGCTAGAGGATAGTCACATACGGGAATCTGGATGAGGAGCTCGACACCCACACCGACAGCGACAGCAAAGGCAGCCTGCCGGAAGTGGTCGTATTTGAAGAGATCGGGGTTCCGCAATGCGCGGACGGCTGTGCAGCTAAGTTAGCAGCGGGTAAAGTAGTACTCGTGCCGTGTTTCCCCATTGAACCATGCGGGTAGCTAGCCAGCCATGGCTGTCGATCATGGAACTAGGGAACTCGGCCGTGCTGAGCCATTGACATTCAGCACCACGCAGACCCCTATAATCCCACATCTGCCGCACCCCCTTTTACGCAAGGCGAAAGAAGTCGCGCAGCCATTGGCTTCTGGGAGTTCAAGAACTCGAGCAGGCAAAAGGGGTCGCACTTACTGGCAACCACCGTCAGCTGAGCACCGCGAATCACGGCGTTATGATCGAAGTTTCCCATGATGCACACCCAAGAGACTCTCGAGTACTTCTGAAGATCAGGGACCGTTTAGCAGAAAGGGAGCATCGTACTATTTATAGTTGTGCGTTGGCTGCCGAGGGGGAAACAGCCACAGGCAACCACATATTGCTTAGGGAATGACGCGCGGGTACGATAGCGATCAATTCCGACTGGCTGAGCAGCCGCCAGACGCCAGGCCATCAGCCGCCGGTCCCACTCTGCGGCGTAGGGCAGGTGACCGGCGCATGACTGCCTCAGGCCATGATCAGTCCCCGCTGGGTTAGACCCGATTGGGGCAATTCCATACTTTTGCCATGAATTTATTGAGTTCGAACCAAGTTGGGAAGGGTCACTCGCTGGGAATTCCCCCGTCCATTATCTCACCACCCCAGCTTCTCGTCTCTCGTTTGACCTCATTCCACACCCACCCCCCTGCTGATCGTCTTTCCTTATCCCTTACTATTCGCATTCACTTGCTATCTTTTCCATCTATATCCTACCTAATCCTGTCCCTTATACAGTTTTCAATGTAATCCATCTCCTTTCTCACCTTCCTTAATCCCCATGATCGAGAATGTCTGATACCTCGGATGCGCCACTACCCCAGACCCAATCCCTTCGCCGGTCTGCGACTCTTCCTTCCAAACTGATTACCCGACCCCGGCGGCAATCCGAGTCGCTGAAGCCCTCGGAGAACGATCTCTTCTACCACCCTTCTGCCAAAGTCGTCCATTTTGCCCCTAGAGCGCTCGCCCCAATCCCCTCCAGTACTGCGCCCTCCGACTTCGACTATCCTGTTGATACTGTTGAGACCCTTCCTTGGAGGTCCCCTACTGAACGAACGGTCGCTCTCGGCCCGCTTCGCCTGGAGAATGTCCACGGCCTTACTGTCTTCCTCAAGTGCGGCAATGTCGTCCATGCCATCCTCAAGAACTCGCAATGTTGGTGTGTCGACGGCGAGTCAACCTTTGTCTTGCGCATTCGCCCTCTGACGTACTATCGCATCGAACTCCCCGCCGACACCGATGACAACAAGGTCTTAGTCACGGAGATGAAAAATGTTCTGCCCAGGGTCCTCCGTTACGAAATGACACCATGCCCCTTCAAGAGAGGTTTCACTGTTGAGATACCAGAGGAGGCTAAAGCGCCCAGGAGGAAGAGGGCATGGCGACCCAAAGGTCGTCGCGAAAGTGCCCCAATCAGTTCAGTCTACTACCACGGACTGTCCAAGTCGAAGGAGGACCTCACAAAAGACCCAGTCA